GGAAGGGGGAGGGATAGTTAGAAACATCGATGAGAGAGAAACATTGATCAGCTGCCTCGTGCACACCCCTTCTGGGGACATGCTTGCAACCAAAGTACGTGCCCTTGACCAGAATCGAACCTGGGACCCTTCAGTCCGCAGGCTGACGCTCTATCCACTCAGCCAAACCGGTTAGGGCAGGACCCCAATATTCCGGTGTCCCAGAGGCTTTCACCCTCTAGGACAATGTCCATAGTTAGACATTTGTCAGTTTGGCAGTTTCTTTCAAAACTAAACATACTCTTATAAGATCCAAAAAGCACATGCCTTGGTATTTACCAAAATGATATGAAAACTTATGTCTACTCAGAAATCTGATTATAGATGGTTACAGAATCTTCAGACAATTAAATATTACTCAGCAATCAAAGGAAATTAGCTATCAAGCAATAAAAAAAACACAAGCAGAGCTGGTTCCTTGAAAACATAAACAAGATTGATGAACCTGTAGCCAGATTCATCACGAAACAGAGAGAGATTCAAATAAATAAAATCAGAAATGAAAGACAAGTAACAACTGACATCACAGAGATACACACGGTTCTAAGAAAATATTATGAACAACTATATTGCAACAAACTGGACAACTGGGTGAATTGGATAAATTCCTAGAAATATACAATCTTCCAAAACTGAATCAGGAAGAATCAGAAAATCTGAATAGACCAATTACAACTAATGAAATCAAAGCAGTAATTAAAAAATACCTCCCACTGCTGGTGGGAATGCAGACTGGTGCAGCCACTGTGGAAAGCAGTATGGCGTTTCCTCAAAAATTTAAAAATGGAACTCCCATTTGACCTCGTTACGGCTTGCAGAAGGCAGCTGATCAATGATTCTCTCTCATCATTGGTGTTTCTATCGCTCTCTCCCTCTCCTTTCCTCTATGAAAGCAATAAAAATACTTGTATAAAAAGCCAACCAATGGACCCAAGACACTGGGGGAGTGGGGTGAAGGCATTGCTGGGGGTCAGGGAGGCCGGGGGAAGGTCAATGGGGAGAAAAGGGAGACATATATATTACTATCTGTAATACTTTAAACAAGAAAATAAAATTAAAAAAAAAAACCTCCCAGAAATCAAAGTCCTGGACCAGATGGTTTCACAGGTGAATTTAACCAAATATTTAAAGAAGAATAACACCTATCCTTCTCAAACTATTAAAAAGAGGAGAGAACACTTCCAAGCTCATTTTATTAGGCCAGCATTATCCTAATAACAAAACCAGAAAAACACACTACAAAGTAAGAAAATTATAGGCCAATATCCCCTGTGAACATAGATGCTAAAACATCAACAAAATATTAGCAAACTGGATCCAGCAATATATTAAAGAGATCATACACCATGATCAAATGGGATTTATTCTAGGAATGCAATGTTGGTACAATATTAGCAAATCAATAAAAGTGATAAATTACATAACCATAATGAAGGAAAAAAATCACATGATCATATCAATAGATATAGAAAAAGCATTTTATAAAATCCAGTATCCATTTATGATAATAGCCCCAATTTTATGCCTTTAAAAATTATGAATATAAAAACTGTGGTACATCTACACAATGGAATACTATGCTTCTGTAAAAAGGAAGGAATTCTTACCATTTGCAACAGCATGGATGGAACTGGAGAGCAATATGCTAAGTGAAATAAGCTAGTCAATGAAAGAAAAATACCACATGATCGCACTCATTTATGGATAATAAAGAACATTATAACCTAATGAACAAAAAGATAGATACAGAGGCAAAGAAGCATCGAACAGATTGTCAAATTACAGTGGGGAGCCTGGGGAATGTTGAGGGGAGGG